GGATAACGCATTCTTCTGTCTGACGCGTTTTCCTCTGAGTAAACATCGCCTTGTTGGCGTCTACAGGAGTCACACGCTTGGAATCACACCTTTGTGAGGGTGAAACCTTAACGGGCTCCTGGTTTTCTGCACGCACCGCCAAGCGGGTCGTTGTAGAAATTAATTTGTTAGGAGGTCGCGTATGACCCTCAGTCCGGATGTTTGCTCGAAGCTCCTTCAACGGTCTCAAGATTTCCTTAACAGACGTTTTTCCTCGATTCTCAGGTAGAGAACCGATGTGATCCTTCAATGGGACACTAGATTTGGGAAGATTCACGCTGTCATAGGGCTTCACCGGAGATGCGGAAGCAATAGGAGCGGGATCTAGAGTTGACCAAGGCCGGAGAGCATCCTCGGATGCTTTTGCCTTAGGCGCTGATTTGGCCTTTGGCATCCAACATTGCTTAGATTTTGGTGACTTTTTGGCCACATTTTCCTTCGGCAACTCCTGTGTCTTCCGTACAAGGATCATTGTTTGCGCTAGCAGTGCGCGACGCTTGTGGATACGCTCCTCAAGAGTTGAACGGGTTTGTTTAACACGAACCCATTCGTTAGTAGGTGGATGGGAGGAAGTTCTCAAAGCTTGTTGTTGGAACACTTTGCGCCTTCTGAGTCTCAAATCCGCATCATAGCAGATCCCGTCAACAGGCTCCAAAGCCTGGGCAAATTGACGCGCGAGACGTTGACGGCGCCTTTGACGAGCCCTCTTCGTCAGCACAGGTGCACTTTCAACGAGCAACTCTTTGACTTTCGAGGAGTTGTCACGAACGTTGGATCTGGTTTCTTTGGAAGCCGGAGAGGAATCTTCCACTACATTCGGGTTCAGATCATCAACTTTGGTTTTTGGATCTGAAGTCATATTCTTCGCGGCAGTGGTTTTCCTGCATTTGCAAGAAGAAGATCTGGAGGAGGAGGAAATATATTCCTCGAATTTCTGCTGGTCGAATTCGTATTCGCCCTCTTCGAGCACCAGGATCTTGATCGTCGGCTGCGGCACGACAGCTTCGGCAGCGAAGCTTTGGCTCCCACTGTGGTCGCTAGTTTGTTTGCGGTGAAAGTTGATTTCTTCATTGCTGAATCTATTACACGTTTATCGGTTGCAGATTCAAAGTAAAATTAGTCTTTTTATAAGACTTTCTTACACAATGAAAAAAAAATAAAAAAAATACAACTCTTCAAACAAACGCAACGGGTGTTTATCGCCCGCTACTTGCGTGGGATCTTGGCCTGTGACGAGGACGTTGATATCCGTAGACCACCGCTGATCAGATCTGATTGCTGAAAAATCGGGCAGAGCTTTGTTGATTCGCGAAGGAATCAAGAAACCGTAGCGCTTATCTCGGCAACGGCGAGATAATTGCTCTTCTTAAGATTATCACAACGAGATAATCTTAAGGAACGGACTCGGGGAACTGCAGATCTGACGAGCTCCTTTTTTTTATGCCGATGAACTCGATCCGATCTCTCCTCCTCCTCTCTGAAGTTCGTGCACTTTTAATCTTCATTCCGGCAGGGCTTCGCCAACTTTATCAAAATCCAGATCTCGAAAAATGAGGGCCTGAGGCCGTATTTATAGGCTCGGGGGGAGTTCAGGTGGTTGAAACTGCACAAAAGCCCGTTTTTTAGGCCTGGAGACACCCTTGGGTGTCTCGGCCTTGGCCGAGACACCTTGGGGTGTCTCGCTTGTGTCGAGACACCTCGGGGTGTCTCGCCTCAGGCTGAGACGTTCTTTTCCGTGCACTTGTCCGTTTCCGCCGTAATTTACTAATTTCTTCGTCCGAACTCGGATTTGAGTGATTCAAAGTACGTTGGAAAGCCGATGAGGAGTTCTATAAGCTCTGATGATTAGATCATTGTGGGTTAAGCTGGGATAGGAGCGTCGTTTCGTCTTTTGTAAGCGACGCGGGACTCCCGATCAGTTCGTGTCTTCGTTATTCTGAAATTCCGTTACTTCACGTAGTTTGTCGATTCACTTCAAGCGTTTATCGACGTCAATCAAGATTCTGTGACTTGGATAGTGACGTTCCTCATCTTCTCTTAGCTTTGAGCTGCTCACGGAGACCTATAGGTAATTTTCGATGCCTACAACTGTGAGGATCGTTTAACGACCCATCTAGTAGTCATTCGCTCTGTACTCTTGGTATTCCGCTCGACCTTGATTAACTTGGGGAAGATAGGACCCCCTGTCATGGCTCGGGTAGAGTCCTCAGGTATGGATGCCTCGACCACTTGGGGTCGGGCCACACACACAACTCTATGGCGTTCGCGGGACGCATTGCTACTAGAGGAGGAGGAAGACAAGTATTCTTCGTACTTGGCTTAGTCGAACTCGATCATGAGGGACTCCACGGTTGTCCCAACTGTGACTTCGTCGAACTGCGCTACCACAATTTCAGTTGAAGAAACGATTTCTCCCAGTGTGGTCGCCATCTTCTGTGGGGTGTAAAATTTGATTTTCCGAAACGGAGATTTCGTTTGTATTGATAAGAATAGCTTACTACAAACTAATGAATCAAAGTTACAACAGAAACGGAGGAAATACCCTCCTTGTTTAACGTGGGGTCTTTGGTAGCGATAGGATGTCTCCCTTAGTGCTGGAACCGTGTTTGCTTCCCTTGGACGATCTGAACGAAGTCGCAGGCGAGCTTCAGTACGCAATAGAAGCTCGTGTTGATTGAGTTCGAGTTTCCGAGCTTAATGACTATCAAGGTCGAAAGCTGGAAGAAGGAACTACAGTGCAAGAACAATGCAAAGAGCGGAGCGCTAACCAATTGAGGAATCAACCAACTAGCTGAAAGTGAACCCCTTTCACGTAGCCAGGAGATGCTCTTAAATAGGGAAGAGATAGCATGATCACTCCCTTGAATCATGGGATGTGACCATATACTGTTGAGAGATGTTATGCCTCTCACTTGTACTGTGAGCGGCTACCTGATGGGTGCGGAGTACTGTACTCCTCCCCTCACGTCATGGGAAATAGGAAAGCCCATCCTTGTACGTGACATCATAGCCGCCTAGTGCTCTGGCGAGCTTGGCGAACTTGCAGGCGGACTGCTGATTGCCTAGATGTGCAGGCGAGCTTCGTTCGTGCTGGCGAACTCAGCGTTTGAGTGTACTTGACTCGTGCTGGTGAGTCAAGCATGCAAGCGAACTTCGTTCATGCTGGCGAACTTAGCGCTTGAGTGGACTTGAGTCGTGCTGGCTAGTCAAGCATGCAGGCGAGCTTCGTTCGTGTTGGCGAACTTAGCGCTTGAGCGAACTTGACTCGTGCTGGCGACAAGGTTTAAAATATCGGTTATCGGGGATTTATCGGACGGCCAAAATCCTTATCGGATAGCGGAAATCGGGGATATATCGGGGATAAGTAGTATTTATCGGAGTGATATACTGGATGATGTGTATATATAATATAACAATTAAAAAATATAATCTAATCATGCTTAATGAAATATAAACATACCAAAATGTAAATCATCATGTTTAGAATCACTAACAAATTGTAGAAAGTGAAACTTGCATCATAGCCTTGAAAAAATATAATGTTAGTCAAAATGGGCCGATAATCCCGATAATCCCGATAAAAAAATCTTACTTATCGGCCGATAAGTGCCGATAACGCCGATAAATCGCCGATAAACCTACAAAAACGATAACCGATTAAAAATCCAATTTATCCTAGCGGAAAGCTCCCAAATCCGATAACTCGGCCGATAATATCGATTATCGGCCGATATTAAGCATGTAGGCGGAATTGAGCTCTTGACGGCGGGCTCGACGATTAAAGCGAGCTTGTTTGGCTCTTCTGCGTGCAGGCGTACCCATACAGGTGGGTTTTTAGATCTTCCTGTTGTTAAGGTAAATTTTATAGCTTACACACACTAAATCTACGAAAATTATTGCCCAGTAGCATGAGAATGCTCATCGATCACTATAGGTCAACTCGAGGATAGAATGTACGTAGCACTACCATAAGTTGTCCGAAAGCCACTTTACATTTTGCCAAAAAGACCACTTTATCATTGTCGGTATGTTCAATTAGAATAGGCTTAAACAAATTACTCCACTCTATGATGGACTTCTTAGGATTTTTAACAATTAAAAACATACTTTTAATTTAAAATATCACTTGCAATTTCTACTTGTACGAAAAGCAATGTAAATGCTTAAATATTTTTTTAAACTTTCCTCAAGTCCACCATTTCATGAAAATAGGACATTCATGAATCTAAAACAAATAAATATTTTTGTCAAATATAAACTTAATAAATTTTCATATGAATGATATATTTCAAAATATGTTTGGTAGCATATTTTCACTAACTTTCATTAAATTAATTTATATTTATCACTAAAGATAAATAAATCACAATACCAAGTTCTTTTAATTTTTTTCTTTATACGAGAACAGAACATAACTTGTCTGATCCAACATTTATTCTACAAAACTAACATTATAACATATAATCTATACATTACTTTTATATTAACATAACTAATGACAAAAAATCTACTCACTTAACAAATCTAACAGTAGGTTCAGATAACCATACTCCAAGAAGCTTAGTCCTCGATCAAACCTATAGGCATGCAATATTTATTGCTAAAGATTCTACATATAAACTGCTTTGGGTATAAAACTCATACTTTCTAGTTTCTAGTGCCTTTTCTCAAAATTTTTTATCTATTTATTCTTAAATCAGTTCGGACCTAAAGGTAAAGTTTCTACACTAAGGGGACTGGAGGAAATCCATTTCCTCACATCTCCTTTATCAGTTTATTGTCTATACAAAATCTTAAATGGTCTGATCCTTTCTCTAATTGAACCCAACCAGCCCTAAGTGGGTTTGGTGGCCATGATAGCCATCACCGGTGAAGCCCTTGCCCACAGGAAAGACCGGAGGTCGCCGGATGTCACCGGAATCAAAACCGGTGGCCGGAAAGGTACCTTTTTTTTCCATTCT